CACCTCCTCCATGGGCAGGGACACCTCTCACTATTCCAGGTTGCTCCAAGCCAACACAACCTTGGACACTTCCAGGCATCCAGGGGCAGCCACAGCTTCTCTGGGCACCCTGTGCCAGGGCCTCAGCATCCCCAGAGAGTTACCTTTGAGCCAGGTTAAGAGCTCAGGGCACACAAAGGTGCACGTGCACAATCAGCAGAAAAGGGCATTAAGAGACTTGTCCCCAACACGTTGCCCTGGCTGTTACAGGAAACAATCCTCACCCGAGTCACCAAACACTTACTGTGTTTATGCAAGCTCAGAATTCACCTGGATACACTTACTCACCAGCTATGTGGGCAGATTCCCCATGCCTGAATCACCCCGATTTAATCCCCCAGCAAACCAACAAAAACAGCACATTCCCATGCTCTGTTGTGCTCACCCAGAAATCTGAAGCAAGATGGCTATTTGGAGAATCAGACTGATCCTGTCAAATTACATCCTTTGAGCCACAGTTCCACCACGCAAACATAACAAAAGCTCGAAGAGGCCAATTATAATTATGGCTTCAAGATGCAATTGTCTTATGTGTTATCTGGGGGTTTCTTCAGCTCTGGTCAATGATGCCTAAATATCTGAACTATGCCATCATTCTTTTGATGTACTGAAATAATGTAACAAGTATTACAGAATCCCAGAATGGTTTGGGTAGGAAAGGACCTTAAAGCCCATCCAATTCCACCCCCTGCCATGGGCAGGGACACCTTCCACTCTCCCAGGTTGCTCAAAACCCTGTCTAAACTGGCCTGAACAGTTGTAGTCTTGTATTTCCCTAGAGGAAACAATGGTTTTGCAGCACATGCATTTTTCAAGTAAGTTATCTCAGCCTTCAACAGCAACAAAAGTGTTAAGACAGTATTGCTGCCACAACTCCAAGACTGAGTATAACTCCTCCTGTAACATTGTTCTCAACATACGCAATACCAGCATTCAAGGGGCTGCAAAGTTGGAGAGCTACAACAATTAGACATCTCTAAGGTTCCTGTACTTCAGGAGTTTTTACTCTACCCTAAATTGCTTTATTTTCAGGAAACAGTACTTTTAAAAATGACCAGAAGAAAAAAAAAATAAAACAAGGTTTGTACCTTCTCCCATTTTCTCCCACTCATGCACTTTCCCAGTGTATCTTTGTACATTTAGAAATAACTTTCTCAAGGCAGTGCAATCTCGTATTTTCCCTAAGACTTAGATTATTTCTTGATAATCACCTAATAATCATCACTTCAAAATTAAAATTAGCATTTACAAAATGCTTTTTAAAATTTCTTTTTAATAGGAAAACTAGAATAAAGATCACAAAGTACTCTGGAACACAGCAATTCATAACTACATAACATCTGGTATGGCATTCTTACCAATTAAAGTAATTATTTCCCTTAAAAATGAATAAATAAAAACTACTTGAGATGCTCAACACCTGCTGCACCAGCATATTAGTACTAAGTATATTAGTATCTTTATTGACTATTAATAATGTGTACATCATCTTGGTTAAAGTGTTTTGAAGTCTTTTCATGAAGGATTACAAAGTAATGTTTTCACCATCTTTCCTTGGTTTTCCATATTGCTAAAGTTTATAAAAATATAATGCTAGTCTCAACCTGCATTGTGAGAAATTGGAACTGACACATTCAGCTATCACCTACCCTTGCAAATCACCACACCATGGAACCTCGAGGTATTTTCAGTAATGTAAAGACCACTGAAAGGAATTCATATTTTCTCTCCCCATTTCTGAGCACACAATATACTTCATATAAGAAATGTTTAATGTTGATCAAGCAGTGACAGTGTGAACATGGGAGGCAGATTTTACTATGGTAAAGTCTAAGGCTAATAATATTAATTAAACTGCTATTAAACAGGCATTATGTTAGCACCTTTATCCACTGAGGAAAAACTAATGAAGCACTATCACCCAGAACTGTTTTATCCAGTATCACATGTAACTTAGAATAACACAAGGCAAGAAATCTCTGTGCAAAAATATGGACAAATGAATTTAGGACCCAGTTTACCACTTGCTCTCTTCATATTAGACAGCAGTCTTATACTCAAATATAAACAACTGCTGCTGAAAGGGGAGTTTGAATTTCAGGTTATTTCAAGTCTTTTGTCTAGCAAGTATGCCTAGACACTCCTATGAACACCAAATGTAAGAACTCCAAACGTAAAAAGAAAGAAGCTTTACACTGCCAATAAAATCCAGCACTGGAAAGACAGTGCCACTCTACGTAGAAAAGAAAATTCTCAGAATCAGTAATAGCAACTCTACTTCACTGAAAGTCCCAAATTTCTTAAGATTCAAAGCATATTCTTCTCCAGAGCTGTCCAACCTCTCTTGAGCAGAAGAGTATTAAGTAAGCTGTTCAAGGAGCACACGTTGGTTGGAGCTTATGTTTAAAGCAGCCTGAACTAACAAGTCTATAATCTTCTCTTTACAGGGTACAGTTCTCCTTGCAGTGGAAGGAACTCTTCCAGGAAGTCACTTGGTATTTTCTCACAGCAGCCAACCACACCACAATTCCTGTCAGTGAACCTCAAGCACCCTGAGGTTAAAAGACACTGTGATTCGGGGAGTATCAGTACAACACTAAACTCTTTCCAGCAAAATTGCAAGGCAATCACCACAACCCAAATGTCTGTTTTTCTTACATGCAACACATGGCACTACCACGAGGATTTAAAAGCTGCTGTCAGAAAGAAAGAGTTAGCAAAAGGAGGTTTACCAAAAATACAGCGTGGTGGAGCTGTAATCTAAAGGAGTGAGGAGCTGTTGCTTTACCACAAGCTCTTTAACTATTCCATTTTTAAATATTTAAGAAGTAGTTGAAGAGCTCACAGAAGACATACAATACACTCCTTTTCTAGATAAATCGTTCCCATCAATCAGAGCTACTGTTCTCATGACTCAGTGTCCAATAAAAGTTAGCAAATTATCTGTGAAGGTTTTACTCATCCTCTCAGCTCTTGAAACATGTTTTTAGACTGCTATTTTGGTTTTCAAGTCTTTGTGATTGACAAATGAGCTGAGCCACAGTTAGGTAACAGAAATCATTAATACATGAAAAGACTAACACAAGTCACGTGCTAAGGAGATAACTACATCCAGCGCTTCACATCCTCCTCCCACTTCCACACGAGCTTGGCACATCAACTAGCACCCAAGTATCTTATTCAGAAACACAGTTATACCACATAAACAAGCATTAATTACCACTTGAAAAAATGCTCTGCTGAAGGCATCGTCTATCACACAGAAATCCAAACAGCAGCAGCACAGAGAAAGGGACGGTGCTTGTGCCAGAGTCTTCCCACCAGATATATTCACAAATTTTAATCTCCTCATCAGAGGAAAGAAAAGACAAAGTACCCCCAGGAGGGGACAGCCGAACAGCATAACCTCAGTAGTGACTAATAAAACAGAATATACACAAATCTCTACCACACACTTGGTCAGACGTGGATACTGAGTTAGGGACTGCTCTGTAATAAGTGACAAGTACTGCCAGCCTCCCTGCCTCACCACACAACACACTAAACCCAAAATGTTAATTGCAAGAACCATGATGTCTGTCTATTCAAGCTCCACTCCTCAAGAAGCACACAAATAAATCTTTCAGGCAACAATCTCAGTAGCAGCTTTTCCATCCAGACTTTTTGATTACACATCATTTAAAGACCAGCTAGGCCACCAACACAAAATGGTTTTAGGCAGCTCTGTTTCAGCAGCTCTACATCACACTCTGCTACCCTGAATCCCATCCAAAATAGCGACAGGCTACTCCAGTTGAAAAAGCACATGACGTGAAGCTCAGCAAGTTATCATGCAAAACAGGTTGCAAATTTCTCCACAAAATACATATTCCTAGCAAATACTCTTCGCTCTGTTCAACTCCACCAACAGTTAAGGAAAAATATCTGCAGACTTCTTTATGCTGGTGCTTTCCTTCCCTATTTTGTGCATTCTAAGCAGCTGAAGCCTCTGTAGTGCTCCTGCGGGAACAGATGCACATAAATCTAAGCTTACAGGGCTGTTATCTCCATCTTGCCTCCCGACCTGTTTCTACACTACGGTACAGACCGATACCGCTCCATAACCCAGCTGCACATCTTGTTTACCCACCTCACACCACCAAACCAGAGCCCACACTGTCTCCATCACATGCTGCAGGGAGCGCCGAAGAAAATTTCATTTTCCCGAACCCTTCTGCAGGCAAAACGAGCATCATCCTTCCCACCGTACCCCAGTCCGAAGGAGCCCGCTGCTCTCCCGCACAGCAGCAGCGGACGAGTAGCAAAAGAACTTCTAAACCCCACAAATCCCAACTGAAGGGCCACCCGGGGCATTCAGCGCCGAGGAAATGATGGGGACCAAGCCGGAACACCTCCGGCTCCCTGAAAACGCCAGCCACGAGGGGTGGAGGAAGGGCAGGCAGCCCGGAGCGGGGAGGCGGCTGCTCCCAAGGACCCGCGGGCCATGGGCTGGGGGGCACGGGGGGTGCACTGCAAGAGGCTGGGGGAGAAGGAGGGAAATGGGCAGGGGGGAGCAGGACCATGGGCTGGGGGAGATGAGGGGGAGTAGGGCCATGAAGGAGGCGGGGCGGCAGAGACAGGGCTATTTACGGGGGGGGAAGCAAGGGAACCACGGAAGGAGGGGTAAAGAACAGAGCCGTGGTCTGGGGGAGGTTTGGGGACGGATGAACACAGCCATGCGCTGGGGCAGGCTTGAGACGGAGAACAGGACTGGCGGACCTTTGGTACGGGGGAGCAGAGCCGTGGGCTGGGGGAGGTTTGCGGGACTCAGGGCCATGGGCTAGAGAGGCTTTGAGGGGAGCACAAGGCCATGAGCTGGGAGAGTTTTTTTAGGGAAGCACAGGGCCATGGGCTGGGGGAAGTTTTGGGGCACCCTCCGCCGCCCGCTCCCTCTCCCCACCGTGCCGGGGCCGCCGTCTCACCTTCGATGGCGATGACATGCTCGCGGATCTGGTTCTGCAGCACGGGCTCCTCCACACGCTCCAGCAGCTCGTAGATGGAGTAGATGTTGGGGTGCACCGACTCGAAGCGCTGGATCTCGGCCCGGATGGCTGCCGAGTTCGCCAGCTGCTGCTGGTAGTTCATGGCGCGGCCGCTCCGCTCCGGCCCCTTCACGCTGAGACCCCCGGGCGGCGGCGGGGGCAAGCCCGGGCCGCCGCCGGCGCCTCACTCACCGGACACCCCCCACGCCCCGTGCCGGGCCGGCAGCAGCGCCTTGGCCTCGCAGCGCGCTGTCACTTCACGACGGCGGCAGCGGGGCGGGGCAGGGCCGCCCCCGGCCCCATGGAGGGAGGGAGGATGGACCCGCACTCCCGGTCGCGGTCCCGCCGCCTCTTCAGCCCCTCACGGCTCCCGGCCCCAGTCCTGCCGCCGCCGCCGCCCCCCCACCACCGGCGCGCGCACACAGCCGTTCAGCCAATGGTTGGGGGCCCCCCCCGCACGCGCGCGCCCCCGCGGCAGCCAATGGCCGGGGCCTCGCGCCCTCCCTCGCGCTCGCCCCGCGTCCTTCTCTGCTTGCCCCGCTTCACGCTGGCGCAGGCCACGCCCCTCCAGGTAACGTCACCGCGCAGGCCCCGCACTGCCCCACCCTCGGGCACGCTGGGAAATGTAGTCCCGAAGGGAGGCGTTGAGGGAAGGTCGGGGCTGTGTCGCTCCCCGTCCCCTCAGACACCCGAGCCGCTCCGGAGCCGCCCGTCGCCCCCGCCCCGCTCTGGGGACGCGGGGCTCGCCCCACGAACGCCCGGCAGCGCTCACTCCGCAGGTGACGAAGCCCCTCACCGTGAGTCCGACCCCCGCGGCCCTCCGCGGCTGGAGCCGTGAGGGTGATGAAAGTGGATTTGTGCCCAAAGTGCGCCACTCACTCCTGGAATGGCAGCCCCATCCCTGGAAGTGTTCCAGGCCAGGTTGGACAGGTCTTGGAGCAACCTGGGATAGTGGAAGGTGTCCCTGCCATGGCAGGGGGTGGAATTGGATGATCCTTAAGGTTCCTTCCAGCTGAAACCATCCCATAATTATATGACATGTCAGAAATACTTATCTCGTGGAGTAATGAAGCACTGTTGGCATTGCATAAACGGGGTTATTTACAATATCGGTTGTAAGCCAGCTGTGCGCTGTCAGCCACTGACCTCAATTAATCCATTTTTAGGATCAATATTCTATGGCTTTAAGCTCCAAAGCTGTGAAACATGGAGCAAACTTTGATATAGGAAACAGCATAAGGACGACATGGTATAGAATAGCCTCAGGAAAACTCTATCCATCCATTCTACTGATATATACCACAGAAACAGAGTAATTTTGATACTTTTCCCCCCAAAATGTCTTTATTTGGGTGTAGAGCTCTGGCCTAGGGATGAAATGAGGTGAGCTTTAAGTCCCTTCCAACTCAAACCACTCTTGATGTGATGACACTAAAAAAAACATAAAAACTATAGAGGTGACAATTCAAGCTGTGATATGAGATTGAGGTTTTGAATGCTGCTGGGACTGAAGCTTCCTCAGCACTGGTTGTCTGCTGCAGGAATTGTCTTCTGCTCGTTTGAACAGTTTAGGAGGATATGGTCATAGATACCTGTATCATCTTCTCTCTTCTTTCTCAGCAGGAATTGGTATCATTTTTATGAGCTTTCTCTTTTTTATTTTCTAATCCTAGGAGGAAATTCTTGAGTGCATAAAGAAAAAAAAAATTAAAAGGCAGGAAGAATACAGTCCCTCTTTCTACTAGAGAGTGACACGCAGGACATTAATGATGCTGATAAAAATTTGTTAAATGTAAGAGGAATTTTGCTTTCATTTACCTTAAACTGTTTGAATAAGTTAAATGCATGTAGAAATCTGGATGAAAGCAATAATTCTCCCTTTTCCTCCCTCTATCCTGATCTGGAGCAGAGGCACTACCTCACATTACTTGTGTTTCAGAAAATGCCAAAACAAGCAGCAGAGCCAAGAGTCAGGCAACAGCCTCTGCTGTGTGTGGGGCTGGTTGTTTCCACTGCTGCCATATGCTTTGTGTTCTTCCAGCTCTAAAATTCATGGAAAACAACTCCCAGAGTAAATGTAGCTGTAAATTAATGCAACTACTGCACACAAATAATTGAAGCGTTAAAACCCTATGTTAATGTAAAGCCTGTAAAATAATGTAATGTAATGTAATATTTTCATCTGTAGTCCTCCCGTGAAGCCTTTGCTACCCTGATTTTTTTACTACAGAATAAATTTTGTGTAAGCTTTGTAAAATCACAACAAAATATAAGCTACTGTTTCAGCTTACACAGATCTCTCCTTTAAGAAGACCTTAACAATAAGTGGTATTTTGCTTGTGCTTGCAGCTGAGATTGGCCTGAAATGCTGCTAGTGGTGCACAGAGAGATGCTGGATTCCTCTCTTTGCTCTCAAACTCTGTTCTGGAGGGTCTGGCATCCACAGTGTTCCACCAGCCTTTAATGTGAGCTGGCAGAGAATGACTTGGGCAGCTCTGCGGTGAGCAGTAAGGTATTTAGGTTTGTTTTTCTTTGGTCTGGGGGCAGGGGTAACATGGGCACTTCACAGTTTTTTTGGGGTCTGGTTTTGTCAAAGGCAAGATGAACGTGCTCATCTGGGGATCAGACAATTTTACAGGCATGGAGAGGCTGATGGGCTGTAAGTAAAGTTGACAGAGTGGTCCCAGTGTGGGCTACCCTTCTGGCACTGGTTTTCCTTTCTGAGGGTGAAAGCTTGCCAGGGGTGAAGCTTCCCCCCGCTCTCCCACGCAGCTGGTTCTGTGCTTAGGTCTCTAACAAAGTTCCATCTGTGCTGGCTTCCTCCTCCTCCCCATCTGGCAAATCCACTCACTGCCCTGCCTACAGAAAGCCAGTCTGGATGGTTTCCTCCTGCTCTTGGTGCCTTATTTCTGGAGGTATCAGTAACTGGAAAGGAGCACTGAATCACCATCTCAAACAGTTCTATCTCCTGTCACATGACAGGGCTTACCCACTTTGTGCTATTCCCACTCTGTCCACCAAACACTACAGAAAGTGTAGGAAAGAATTTTGGGGAGTCACAATTGATGCACTTGGACTCAAGGCATAGGGACAATGACATTTTGCTTTTGGAACTGAGCCTGCCATGTACACTTTAATGGAAATATGACTACACAAAAGTTCCACAGAGATGTTGCAGGCAGGGTTCACGAGACATTAAGGTGATGTTTAAGCACAGGTCTTGGAAATGGAAAACTCTCATGGAATTTCATTTAAACCCTGCCTGTACCTTCCCCTAATGCTTTGTTGGGATGTGGAGGAGCTTTCCTGGCTGCTGAAATGGGAATTAGGCAGCACTAGCTTTTAGTTACTAATTCAGTAGCTGAAATGTTGATTGGAGGGGGAAAAAGTTTGAAAAGTGTTAAAGCATCCTATTCTGATCCGTGCCTGAATTTAACATAAATTAAACATCACAGACAGCTTGACACAGGGACTTGTTTGTAGACCTAACAGGAAAGGGATTAACTGAAAAAACCGAGAACATAAGGACTCCTGCACCATCCAGGAGAAGTTCTAAGAGAAACATTAGCTGATGGTTGTAAGCAGCATTTCGCTTGACTGGGACTGTTTCTGTGTCTGTTAACAATCTTAAAGCCTGGCTGTTCCTGGGATTGCTGTTGGTGTGAGCAGTTTTTGTTTAATAGGCAGGGAGTGTCTGGAAAAACACAGAAGATGCAGGAGATGTTAAAGATGCATCTTTGTGCCTACTAATACTCATATTGCTATAAAGACTATAAAGGCTATAAAGAAATCAAACCCATATGCAAAACAGATATGGAAACATCAAGTTTTCCTGAATTATCTTCACCATACTTTTCAGTGAATATAAAAACTGAAATAGGTTAAGCTTGTTCTCCTAACAAATTGGGATGAAATTCTGTTACTTTACTGGGTAATATTTGGGTCAGTCAGTTACTATTACAGAGTGATTAGATTGCTCAAGAGGCTTTGAAACAAATGTAACTAATGAATTAACCTCATTCAGGGAGTGTGAAATCTGTTCCAGGAGAAATGCCAACTAGTTCAAACAATACTAATTATGGAGTAGCAACAACAAGCGGCTGTCGGAGCTGTAGCTCATTCTTCCCCAGTGCTTCTGTCAGAGCTGGGAAAATGCTGTTCTGTACCCAATCTGCCTGAAAAAAAGGTGGGATGGCAAAAGCAACCTGCTTTTCTGGAGGTGGGAACATAGATCAAATCCCTGCTGCAAGGTCAATTTATCCTGCTAATCAGAAGTGAGCCACATACCAGCACGGAGCTGCAGAACAGGGAACTAGCAATAATTGTGTGTGTTCACCATATGGGGAAAGGAATCTGAGAGTCACTTCTCAATTCTAGCCCCAGGGCCTTGGATTTCCACTAACCTGATACTTTCTGAAATGTTAAAATGAACCATCTTTTAAACTGCCCAAGTTTTGGCTCCTTGTTGATCGAACTTTCACTGTAAAGCCATTTACAACATTTACAGATTTGTACAATTGCTACTTCTGTTAAACCAAAGTCATTGTTCAGATCTGGAGCTGTGCTGCAGCTTTGATCAGGCTGATGATGGTGTGTGCTCTATATTTAAGGTGTTTTCAGTGAAAATAAATGGCTTCTTCACACAAAGCAGGTTTTAGGTCCTAACCTCTACCTGAGCTAACCAAGGCTTAGACAGCTTCATTGCAGCAAAAACCCAACTCATACACAATAAAAAAAATAATTGTTCAATTGGTACCCCTGAGTCAGGCCTCAGCTAACATCCTGAATTTTATAGCAGAGCAAATCCAGTGACAGCTTCATATGCCAGCTCCAAGACACTCAGCACTTTACTGAGCTCTTATCATGGCTAAATATGATTACACTGAAAGTGTCTCTAAGCTTGTTGCTGTTGTCACTTCCTTGATGGAGAATCAATATTTGATTCGCCACATAATTCCATGTTAAGCTTAGGTCTCACTTCAGCTGTGGCATGCTGACAGGGCTTGAAAAGTTATGGAATATTGTAGGCTCAGTTGTTGCCTTGGAACTTTCATACACAGGCTATTGATTTAATGCAGGAAAACCATGGGAGAGGTCACTCTAGATTAGTTCAAGCTCAACTTTTAGAACAGTT